GGGGACCGGAAAATAATGTCGTTTCTGCGCATGTCAGTATTCCTTTTTTTGCATACTAATTTTTGCATACTAAAAATTTGCATACTAAATGAAAAAAGATTGTTGATAATGAGGATGATTACATCATTAATTGAAAATAAAAACTAGTTAAAAATTTATCTGTTCGAATTTTATGTAAACAAACGACATAACTTTCCGGTCCCCCTAATATTATATATATATATGTGTGTGTTTACTTTTTTTTTTATAGCAATCACAAGAGGCACCGGGAATTTGCTGATCCACGGTTCTGCATCGTCGCGAGTCCGTTCTCGAGCGACGGATCATTGATCCCGTAGACGCGTATTGAGAGGAGAAGCTAGGTGGTGTGGGTGCAACGAAAGAAAAGAAAGAAGATCTGCGAAGAATCGTCGAACGTGCGATCGATTTATCCTCGTTCGTGCGCGTCGAGCACTCGACGAATTCTAGAACGTGTCTTCTCCCGATCAAATTCGATATCGCGACGAAAGCTTTCCTTTTTCTTTCTTTTTTGGCAAAAGATAGAATCGGCCGGTTGATTTGAGCGAGCGGTGTCGTTTCACCGTGTTCCGAGTCCAACGACGATCGGTCGTATGCAATGATCGACGCGACCGGATCGATCGATCGATCGTTTGCGCGAGCGCGCGCGCGCGTTCAATACTTCGCGGCTACACGTTCGATCGGGTAGAACAATTGGAGGCTCGAAGCGATTAAAAAATACGTCGGATGCGCCGGCCGGCTCTCGATTTCACTCGTTTTTGCGCATTCTCGATTCTTTCCTCCCTTTCTTTCTTTCTTTTTGTTCCTTCTCTCTGCGGTCGTCTCACTCTTTCTCTCTTTCTTTCTCTCATTTTTTCGTTTTTTTTTTGTTTGTTTATTTCGATACGATCAACAGCGAAACCACTTAAATCTGTATAATATATTTATACTTAATAGTTAATCCTTAGCGATCAATTTACAATCAAGTTAATTCGATTAATCGACGAAATGTTCAATTAGTTGATAGCGATGGCTGGTTCCGTTCGGCACGGCAACGCGTTCGTTTCCGTTTCCTTTGCGCCTGTTTCTCTCTCTCGCACTCACACACTTACGCGCACACTCTCTCTCTCTCTCTCTCGCTCTCTCTCGGACGCACGCAAGCTCTCTGTCTCTCCCACTCTCTCCCTCTCTCTCGCGTCACCTTTCTCTCCCCCCACTTTCTCTCTCTCACTCTATGTCTCTCTCTCTCTCGCTCTCTCTCTCTCTCTCACTCCCCTCATTTTGAAAGTCTCCCCCTCAAACATATGTGTATCCCTTTTGTTCGGTTCATCTCTCATTTAATCATCGATGAAAACGTTTAACACCGACAGACACTTATGCTATAAACTGTTCCACCTCGGAATCGGAATGGATTCTGAAAAAACATCTACTATAGTAATTGTCGATCGTACGCGGCATTGTGTGTCCTTGAGGCCGATAGAGAACAAAAGAAACATTCATTATATAGACATCAGTTATTATATCAACGATTCTCTCATCTATACCCTGTGCATCATTTTAAATGTTTTCAACACATTCTATGTGATTACTCGAGATAAATGTTTCTCGCTTATCGTAGATAGTCAATATATAATATATTTATACTTTATGTATATCCTTGTGAATGTGGGCGCGCGCGCGCGCCCCAGCGACCGTATCTTTCCTTCGAGCGTGTTCGAGCGTGCACGACGCTTCCGCACCGTTTCCTTACGTGTCTCTCTGTGTAAATCGTATGCACGCACCTATGCACGTGTGCACACGTATTAATGTATGTATTTAATCGTGCACGCGCGGGTCGCGTGAACGCGCAGGCGCGTCCACATTCGTTTATTTATATATATAATCATGCCAGATGCATAATTGTACAGCGTCGATCAGCGACAAAGAATGATGCGCCGATCAGTGGCATGCATCTAAATCAACTGGTTCGCGCGTCGATCGGCGCCCGGCACCCGTGGATCCTCGATTGTTCGAAACGCGGCAAACAAATATAAACAACGAGACAACATAATAACGCGATAACTATATAAAAATCACGGTAACGTATGAAATATTCTCACAGCTGTGTGTGTGTCTCGCGGCTTGTTTGTATTCCTTTGTGTGTGCGCGCGCGCGCGTGTGTGTGACTGTCTGGCTGTGTATTATGTTTGTGTACGTGTCAACGATCTCGGGAACGCGATAAAACGGAATCTGCAACGAGAAAACGGCTATAATATATGGCTTAAGAGCGGGTGCGAGGTTGCGAGAGCGAGGATGCGTGCCCGATCCGCGAATCGGCGGGAGCCAAAAAAGTGAGAAATATGCCTGGATGGCTGTCCGCCGGCTGATAAACGGGTTCGATCGTGCACGCGTCCCGGCTGTCGTTGCTTAAATTATTTATCCCGTGCAGTGTCCTTCGACGACGCGATGTACGATATAATAACTATATTCAATATGCACTCCGTTAGAAAAAAGCTTACAAACTTCATAAGCGAGAAGCTATAACCTGTTAAACGGGCGATCCTTCGGACGCCTCGATCGTCGAACGTAAACAACGACTATTATCGTCTCGTATCGCCGTCGGCGTAACCCGCGCGCGGCTTCTCCCCAAACGAAGCTAAATCGTCGCTGATCCGCCGATCGCATCGTTGGTCGTCGCCAATCGTCGACCGGTATCGATATCGGCGACGCGATCTCGAACCTTTTTCTTCTGTTTTTCATTTTTATTCGTTTCTCGAGGAACGCCGACGCAGGAGAGAATCCGCGCGCGCGTGGACGCGCGACCGATGTAACGGAGACGCGGAAAAACGGGGGGCAAGGGGGGAGAGGGAAACAAAATGATCGGCGAACGCGGCGACGAGATGACCGCTCGTCGCTCTCCCGGTCAACAGGTTAACGGCGCGTGGCTCAGTCTGTACATGGAAAAAACTCTCGATGTTTCTGTGATATAGCCGAGGGGGGTTCGCCGACGCGAACGCGGCGGAGCGCGGAGACGGCGCGGCTTCGATCGCGATTCGCGCGATTAACGTCGGCCGCGTGGATCGCGCCTGTGTGTTTACCACGATTCCCTTTTTTCTTCTTTCCTCGAAAACAGCCCGCCCCGAGGGTTCCCGCGACCGGTGGAAACGCGACCGGACGCGCGAGCACGCGACACGCAATGGGGTTCACGAGACGCGAGTGTCCGCGCGACGCTTAATTAGAGGAACCCGCGCGTGTGCAATGTCGCTCGCGGTGTCCGTCGTCTACATCCGATCGCGTACCCAGCCGGCGGCGTTTCTACAGGCGGATCCCTACGTACCGATGGTATACAACACGATTTTGTCAGAGCGATCGCCGGGGATTTAATCGGCGCGCAAAGCGGCTCGGCTTATCGCATCGCAACGGTGCTACGATTCAACGAATCGAATTGACTAGATTCGCATTAAGCATGTACAGCTCGCAATTAATCGTGTGCGTACACGCGCGTCCGCGTTATTGCTCTCATTCAATAATAATAATAATAATAATAATAATAATAATAATAATAATAATAATAATAATTATAATAATTATAATAACCATGTAATAATAATAATAATATTAATAGTAATATTATTAGTAACAATATTATTATGAATAATAATCTTAATAATAATATTATTATTAATAGTAACCTTAATAATAATATTATTATTAATAATAACCTTAATAATAATATTATTATAAATAATAATCTTAATAATAATACTATTATTAATAGTAACCTTAATAATAATATTATTATGAATAATAATCTTAATAATAATATTAATAGTAATAATATTAATAATAATATTAATAATAATAATAATAATAATAGGTTCTGTAACATATATATATATATACGCATATATCGGTTGCGAGACGGCACCCGTTACACCGCGGACCGAAAATATCTCCGAATTTTTGCGGGACGCATACCGAGGGAGTCGCACGGACCACCGCCGCGTAATTACGTTCCCGGTAATGAGCACGTGCGATTACGGTTTCCGGTGGACGCGTCGAAATCACGGGGATCCGCGGTATGTGCATGCACCGGCCCCGCGGATTCGGACACACGTTCCGTCCGTGGAACGATCTTGTAAAGAATGCCCGGAGCCGCAACCGTTCGTTCAACATGTGAGTCCTCGGCTCTCTCGCGGTGAAACGGCACAGAGAGACACGCGAATCGGGTCGCTTGACGAACCAACGAAAGGGTTTCTCCCTCTTTCGCAACGGATACTGGCAACGGAACAAAGAGACAGAAGAAAACAATCGGAAATGAAAAGCTAACGAGACTATAAAATCAAGTAACAAGGAATACGGGAAACTTTAGAAACTCTCCGACGAGCCAGAACGCGTATTCACACACACATACTCTCTCTCTCTTCTCTCTCTTTCTCAAATTCTCTCTCTCTCTCTCTCGATCGTGACCCGTCGAGACAACGGATTGCACTTTTGCTTGGTGTCGGCCCAGCGAAACGATATTCTCAACAACAACGAAACGATTAACAAGTAACGACGCGCGCGGGGACGCGAGAGGAGAGAAGCAACGGAATCGAAAGAGGAACGAGGGAAACGGGGACCGTGGCGTCGACGGGGGCCGTTTTCCTCGCCGCAGACGATCGCGACATCAATTCGACGGAGGGATCGATAGCATCGCGTAAGCACGCCCTGCCTCGAGACGGTCGTCCTTGCGCAGAAGAATTCGACGGACGTGTTCTCCACCGGTTTTCCTCAATCTCACGGTGTGTGTTCGCGTAGCGTTGGTAACGCAGTTTCGGGAAACGTTAGCTCCGCCTGGACACGCTGATCTCGCAACGGCTACTCTAGACGAGACGCGGCTTCGACGGACCAACCGAGGGAGGAAGGCCGAAAATGGTCCAGCATCCAGGTCGGACCCCCCGGCACCGCTAACAACACCGCGGGCATTATTCCGCTTCCTCCAAGACGTTCGGTTGAATCGCGCACGAAGCATGATCCAGCACCGATCGATATCGTACAGGTGCGTTCCTCTTTCCAAAGGTGCGCGGTGACTGGTTTTTCAGCCGGACGTCGGTCCAAGTCGGACTACAAGTAACACTGTTAAGTATCGCGCTACGCCGTGTGATGTACAGGTAAATCATGCTCGCAGCATGATTCACGATCGATCGCAAAGCGCGATTCACTTTCCTCGCGGTGCGCGGCGGTTCGAGCCGTGGCTTCGCGATGCTAACGATATCTAGGCGTGATCTAGGCGGCGGCCAACGTCTCGGAAACTCGAACACGCCCGGCGCGAACGAAACCGGCGAGCTTGAGAAAGGCCGCGTGCGGCAAGCTCGGGAGAGTCGCGGTTGGACGCGGAATGGCGGCCGGTCCGGCTCGTTTTTCTTTCGGCGTTCTCTTCACTGTTTTCCAGAGTTCGGAGCCGCGCGGCCGTGACTACTCGCGCGCGACGCGGCGCGGTGCGGCGCGGTCGTGGATCGTGAGCGACAGGGAGGAAAGGGGGATGGTAATGAAACCGGACGAAACGGAGCGGGACGAAGCGCGAGGAATCGCGTTGGTCTCTGGTGCGAGGGAGAAAGGGGAAGTGAAAGTGAAAGAGAAACAGAGTCGGGGCTGAGGAGGAGGCGGAGAAGGAGGAGCAGGATGAAGGGCAGGAAGGCAGGCAGGAAGGAAGGAAGGAAGGAAGGAAGGAAGGAAGAAAACGCGCGCGGTTCGCGAGCTCGTGATCGCGGCAGCAGGGTCGCGCCAGAAAGCGTCCTTCAACGAGAAGCTTTCGTTTCGTTCGGACGACGGCGATTCCGGCGACGGCGACGGCGGCGGCGGCGGCGGTGGCGGCGGCGGCGGCGGCGGCGGATCCTAAACGTGTAAAAATACGTAGAAAAGATAAACGCAGCGCCTCGAGACGCTATCGCTCGTTGAATAGCTTTACATCGATTATCATACACCGTCGTAAGCAAGGTCGACCGGCGGCCTATGGTGAGACGGGAGGTAAGACGGCGGCGTGGATGTGCCCGGCGTGGAGCCGCCGACGCTCGTGTAACCGCCGGGATAGTTCGCGCTGGGCGCGTGTATGCCCGCCGGTGGTGCCGGATACGCGTCGAAGGAACTAGAATACGATCCGTTGTAGGGATAAGGATTGGCCATGTGGCCGAGGGACGGGTGCATTCCTCCCATGCCGCTCATACTGCCCATCCCGTAGGTGCGCTGCATCAGGCTCGGCTCGAGGCCGCCGAACAGGTACCCGTTCGTGGAGCCCATCGGCACGGGGTAGTGCGGCCCGGGGATGATGTTCGGGTACGAGTTGCCGGGGTGTCCGTGGTTCATGCTCGGCGTGTAATTGCTCGACGCGAGGTTCTCCACCGTGTACAGCTTGCTGTGCTGCTGTTGTTGCTGCTGCTGCTGCTGTTGCTGCTGCTGCTGTTGCTGTTGGTGCTGTTGTTGTTGCTGTTGTTGCTGCTGCTGCGAGTCCTGGTGCTGGCGACCGTTCATGCTGTATAGGGACCCGTAGCCGTCGTTCGGCGAGTTGTGCAGCGAGCTCGGGTAGATCGAGCCGCCCGGCGCCAACGGCGGACTATAATTGGACATCCCCGCGTTGGTCATACCGGCGAAACCCGGCAGATACTGGTGGTGCGCGTCCATCTTCTCCGCGAGGGAGCCGTCGTCGTTCATGCCCGGGTGGCCGTGCTGGAGCCGCTGGCTGCCCCCGTCGGCTATGCTCGGGATCTGGTCGACCAGGGACTCGAGGTCGCTGAGGCTCTTCGACGCCACGTCCTGGCCCGTGTTCCTCTTGATGCCGTACTGCTCGTGGGGGTGGTGCGGCGACATCGAGGAGTGCGTCGGCGTGTGGGGATGCGTGTGCGGCGGTGTCGGATGGGAATGGTGCGAGTGCTCGTCGGTGGTTTGGCTCAACGGCGTCGGTGTGGTCTGATGGGGATGGGGGTTGTGAGGCTCCGAGGCTTGCTCGTGGTAGCCCATGTAACTGGTGTAGCTCGGGTGGGACGGTGTACCCGGGCTACCGTGGTGGACCGGGTTCTCGCCGTTCCCGGCCGGATTGTACTGGCGATGGTCGTTGTTCATGTTCTGCTGGGAGATGCTGGTGGGCGGCTCGAAGTCCGGGTGCTCGACGCTCGGCGAGGTCAACGGCGACGGCTCCAGGTTGTTCTCCGAGGAGATGGCCGTGTTTATCTCCGAGGAGAGGTCGGAATGGGTGAACGAGAGCGACATCGACTTCGGGCTTTGGCTGTAGTGCTGCAGGTGCACCGGGCTCTGCTTCGCGTTCATGTTGTACGGGCTGTCGTTCATCCCCTGCCCGTAGAACCCGGAGTCGTTCATCGGCTGCGGGTACGGGGCCATGTGCGCGAACGTCTTCGGCGGCGAGAAACAGTTCGGCACCACGCCGTAACCGTCCCCTAGGTGTCCCATTCCCTGGTGCTGTTGCTGCTGCTGCTGCTGCTCCCGCTCTCGCATCTCCCTCTCCTGCTGCTTCTGCTGCTGGTGTATCTTCTTCGGGCGTCCTCGACGCTTCTTGATCACCTCCCCGTTCGCGTCCAGCTTCTCCGGATCCGGGGGCGGCTGATCCTCCGGGTTCTTGATCTTCTTCGGCCTGCCTCGCTTCTTCTTGCCCGGTATCTGAGAGTTCGGCTCCTGCTTGATCACCGTCCCGTTCACCTCCGTGATCCTGCTGTCGCCCTCGCTCGTCAGGTCGTCGCAGAACCCGGGCTTCTTGTCCTCGATCGCGTCCGGATCCTTCTTCTTCAGCTTCGAATCAGCGAACACGATGTCGGACTCGTCCAGGTGCGGGATCGCCCCGTTCAAGTAATCCCGGAACTTCTTCAGCGCCGCGTAATACGGCACCTTGTCCGCTGCACGGGGCAGCTGCGCGCATCTCGCGCTACTCGATGGCATCACCCACATGTACTGCAAACGAGAGATTACGTTAAGGTTGGTTCACGTGTAACGAACAACTACGATCTCGTTAGATTTCGTCTCGACTCACCGTGTTGGTTCCTTCGACCAGGTTGGGCTGTCTACCGAATCCGAACTCTTTCTTCCCGGAGAACACTTCGTATATCAGCTTACCGTTGAACACGGCGATCTTCGGCTTGTATTTTCGTAATTTCTCTAACAGAATGTGACTACCTGCGGAATAGAATTGAGCTTGTTAATTTTACGAAATTCAACTTGCCGCCGTGCCAAGCCGCCTCGAAACACGAGACCTTTGTCACTGTTTTTCGAAACGCTTTGCACGTATTCGAGAGCGACGTCCTTCAACATCGTAATGTTCTAATGCAAATTTAACACGGTTTTGCATCATTAGCGTGCACGTGTGTGCGCGGAATTTTCCCGGTCGTTAACACCGGAGCGAATATAAATGCGGATTCATATTTAATATTATCATTTCGATATTCCTCTTTCCTGTGTACATTACGAAGAACAAATTCTTATCGTCGATTCGATCGCAGATTCTTATCGCATGATGTACACGTACACGTAAACATCATTTTTCCACGCGTCTCTCTTCGTTTCAATGTCTCAGAAATTACTGGAATATTCGTCGATACCTTTTTAACCCCTTAATGCACAGTGTTTTTTAAAAAGGCCGGCCAAAAGAAATCAATTTTTTTCAATGTAAAAAAACACAATTTAGAACGTTGTCTTGGCAAGAAAATTAGAAAAATACAAAAATAATCAAAATTTTTATTGCAATTTTGGATTTTGATAACATCGCAGAAAATAGTCGAATATTGCAATATTACACGCACATCGACATTTTTTATCTTTCTTTTCGAATTCCCATTTCAGAATAAACATTATTATCAGTAAAAATATTTATTTATACTTTTAAAACATAAATAATAACGATACTAGTATTTATAATATTTATTATTATATTTATATATATTATTATCTCGAGTGTGAACAGTTCGGCCAGTTTAGCGCGCTCGAGTTAACTCGAGCGTGCACGTTAAGGGGTTAATATATTTTGTAAATATATGAGAAAATTCGATGGAAAAATATTAATGACAAGGGTCTCTCGTTATTTCTTCAAATTTCTTCAACGGGCAATGTAACGGGGAATCGACGAGTTTACGTTAAAATAATCAATTTTTACGTAACGGTCCATTTACACTGAAATCTTACGATTTCGCTACGAATTGCTCGTGTATATTTAACCCCTTGGGTACGTTTGACGATTGAGACTCGTCATGCACTTGTTTTGCCTAAGTTACAGATAACGGGTCTAATTCGTCATTCAAACTTTTAATTACTATATATTATTAGTATATTATATCACTATATAATATAATATAATATATCACTATATAATATAATATAATATATCACTATATAATATATTATATTACTACATTATATATAGTATATTATATTAGTATATTATATCGCTCAAATCAAAAAGCCGTTTCAAATGTAACAATTTCTTCGAACAAATCTGTACTCAAGCGGTTAACAAGCGTGCACCTTTTGTTCACTATACACTGTATTCAGTGTAACGCATATTTCAAGTCACATCGTACAAAATCAATATTTTCGATATTAAGTTTCGGTAATAAAACGGTTGTGTTTCGCAGCCAACGGCCGAGACGGAGCGAGTCCGTCGAAGCTGGTCAAACGACCGTTTGAAAAACTGTTCGACTTTACAATCAGCGAAATTACAAAAGACGTTTCCCGTCGCGAACGCGGACACGAGCACGTTTCTTTCTAAATAGCCGCGCGTTACTTTTTCCGAGGCGAGGAAAACGGCGAACAGTTTTTAGCGCTCGTTAGGTTCGGCGTTAGTGGTTCAATTGGTTAACGGGTTTCGAACGCCGCTCGTTCTGTTGTTCTGTTATCTGGCGGGCCCCGCGGTTCACGCATCGTTAGTAGGCGATGCGTGGATCGCGATTCGCGCGCGCCCGAGAGAATTTCAGGCGCCGAGGTTGGCAACAGTGGAATGCCGCGTGCCGCCAGTCTTCTCGCGGTGATGATCGTACGACGAACCGGCTGAATGTCGAGGCCGATCGGGGATTGATTTCTCGTGCAGTGTTTAGCTTGATCGTTACCGCGAATATTCTCCGTTTGACGAGAGTGCGACGACCGGTTCTGCACGGCCGCCGTGGAACGCGGCGGATTCGGTGATCGCGAGAAACGAAACGAAAAGAAAGATAGATCGCGCGTATCGAGGCCACTGTTTGTCGTGCAACTTGTCGCCGCTGGCGAACACCTAGTGCCCACGGTAAGTAAACCGAGTTTTATCAATGAACGCCAATCGCCGGGCTCCTCTGCCTTTATCGTTCGCGTGCCGCGTTCTCATCGCCGGTCGATCCGAACTCGTCCGATACGGTCGTGTTCGATTCCGTCGCGTTCGATCCGGTGTCGCATCCGAAACACCGGAAGTTCTTGGGCAACCGAGACGAAGAAATAAGAACGACAACCGTTTTCTTTGTATCGTCGTTTCGGTAATTTACGAGTCCGCGAGACCTCGACGGTCGCTCGTCCGGTGAGGTTATAATAGTTTCCCCTCTAAGAATATCGTTGTTTAATAATTAACGCATCTCATAGTTATTTACGATTTATGTCGCGAGTCAACTATGCCGCGTAATTTTCTCCCGAATATTTATCCGTGAATTTACGAAGGGCCCCCGAGCGAATTGTATCGAAGCGCTGGCATCCAGAGTTGTTTGTTTCGAGAGATCGTTCGAAAACAATCGAAACGCTGTCCGATCCTCTGCTGTCAATCCGCGAGAGACTCTTCCGGCGAACTTAGCTGCAGCTCGGCAATCGGCTTTTGTTAAGTGTTCGGGATACATCGTCGTTGTTGTCGTCGGTTCGTTAAAACACGTTGTTTGATCGGGCCTGGAATTTTTCCCGGTTTCGAAGTCGGTTTATCGATGCACCGTTTATCGTGAGAGGAGTGTTCACGGGGAAAACATTGTAACAGTGTTTATCGGGTCCGCGAAGGCGTGCCTCGCACGAAAAAAAGATCGATCAACGGACGAACGAGCGCGGAGGAGGAGAAAAACGGGCACTCTCGGCTGTCCGCGCGGTAAGCAGATAACTTCGTAACACTATGTATATCGCGTTTCTGTCGCGAGGGAACAAATCAATCGGCCTTGATCGTTTTAATGAGAGTCCGGCGGCTTCGTCGTCTTTTGTCGGACGAAAAAGAAAGAAAAAAGAAACGCTCGCGGCGACGAAATCGCGCGTCTATTACACACGTCTAGCCCATTATATTCCTCGAGCACCCGAAAAACTACTACTTACTTCGCTCGGGTCGCTTGCACACGCGCTTTGTGCCGGGACGGTTTTTCAGAAAGACGACGCTCGCGAAATACGCTCGCAGTCATAATAACTGTCCACTCGGCTCGCCGCGCTGAAAGCCCGAAGCAAGAGCCGCCGGGATGGACAGTAATTATGACTACGCGTAAAGCGCGTCTTAGGCGTCTTTCTTCGATAACAAAGAGACCACGGCGCGAGAGCAGTCGCTTGTCACGCGAATTGCACGATTATTGTCGCGATAATAATTGCATCGTTTGTTCGCACGAAAAATGTGCTCGCGTTACGTGATATATATATATAACAATAACAATTTTAAGAAGTGTATATATATAAAATGTAGAATGGAAACGAATGGATCTCGTGAAATAATAAAAATAGCATTAAGTTTGATAAGTAGGAAGGAAGTAGTATATAATATATAATAATATACAATATGTAGTAGTAGTATATAAGTACGATGGAAACGAGGTTGGAAAGAACAAAAGACGGAAAGAAGAAGACGAGCGGGAGAAGGGGGGGAGGCGGAAGAGGCGGAACAAAATAGCGACGATGACACAGAGAGGTTTGTGAAAGAAAAAGGTGTACAAACTAACGAAAAAATTGTTCATGAATGACAACACTGGCTCCGTAGCCGAGCGAAGACGATTACGTATCGACGGGAGTCGTCGGCTTTTTGTTTACAACCGGCGAATCCACGGCACCGGTATTTATCTCTGCCGAGAAGACGGAATTATCGAGGGTAACCGAGAAAAACGAACGGAACGATGATAAAATACGCGGGCGAGAGTCGATGATCTGCGTACACGCGGCAACACGCGAGACTCGACATCGATAGAGAAATACATACATACATACGTATGTATGTATTTTATGTCCACAGAATTCACGCGCCTCCGATTTTCGAAACACATCCGTTTCGTGATTTTGCGGAAGCGGTTCGTTCGGGTATCGCGACGGGAGAAGATCTGTCTAGATCATTCCGCCGGGAACGATACGCGTAATCGTCTGTGCTCGAAATGAGCTTGGTTTCTGTCCTCCATGTGTGCACGGTATGTTGAAAAATTCTTACGAGCTTAGGCGAGTCGCCAGTGCCTCCGAACCTCTCTCGCAGGCTGACGCGAACCGCTTCGTTTGATTAACCCTAACACTCCTAAGAAGGGGGCGAGGGGAGGGGGGAATATAGTGGAAGCCGGAACTTTAACGATGATAAAATCAACCGATTTCGTATATCTCCGAATAATTAATAATAAGTTTAATCTCGATTTAATTTTAATTAATAATATATTTTCAAAAAATGATTTACCGTCGTTCAAACAATGAGATATCGTGATTAAAAGTTCTGTGTTTACTTTGTGCACAAGAAACTTGTGACAGAGAGAATGCAAGGCTTTCCTCGGGGTCATCGATTATGTCGATACTTCATTCATTTGTTAGGACTCCTTCTTCTGTTTACAAACACATACACGCTGTTATTAGATGATCGAAGTTTCATCGGTGCAATATGAAATTCTGAGAGCGGCGCTCGGAAATCGGCTGGCGATCTCGACACACCGCCCAGAATTTCGTTGCAATAATAAAACATTGATCGTAAATAAATCAAAAGAAAAACTATCGCTCCGTAATGGTATATACCTCGCAAACAGAAGAACGAGATTTTATAAGTGTACAAAGTCTCGGACGAAGTCGGTGACCCCAAGGCCCTGTGGCTCTTCCTGTGAGCACAAGAAATATACTGGGTGTCCCATATGCTACGAGCCGCTTGAAATTCGTTTGAAAAGAATCTGTTTCCTTATCGAAAGTGTTCTTTCCGCGTGACCCCAGGAATCACCCGTTTCACGCGATTTCAAAACCTGTTCCCGATACTCTCTGTATAAAAGTCTCTGTGTATAATTGGCCCCGTCGTAGCGGGCCCGTTTTCCCTGTGTATACTATAGATAGCGCGTACACTATACTAGAGCCACTTAGAGCCACGGTAGGCGAAGTGTCGGCCATCGTGTCGTTTGCTACCTAAACCTTGTATCCCCCCCCCCCCCCCCCCCCCCCCCCCCCCCCCCCCCCCCCCCCCCCCCCCCCCCCCCCCCCCCCCCCCG